AGGGGCGAGGGGCCCCGTAGATTGGCACTAAGCACGGCCCCTGGCCAGGTGATGCGCCTGTCTCGAGCACACCTTCCGGAAGCGGCCCTAGCTGCGGTCTCACGGGGACAAGGCGGTTCTGATCTGTCTCCTTTCCTGGGGTCTGAAGCTGCCAGGTGTTTGCCTGAGGCAAGGAGACCTGGCCGTGTAGTTTCAGGATCAGACTTGGCCCGTTTGCTGTCTTTGAGGAAGGCTAACGTCCAAACCAAGCCAACGCTTGAACTTGAACTTCCTTTGTTAATTTTTTAACTGAACTTAGAAGATGCACAACTCCAGGCGAGTGAAGGTTGGCTCATGCTTTTCAGAGTCAGGCCTGCCGCGCACTCCTGAGCGGCAGTTCAGTGAGACAGAAGACTGTCGTCCTCGTCCTGTCCTCTGAGGGGTGGCGTTTCCCTCTTGTCCCCTGGGGAGCCCTGCTCACATCCCAAGAGTCCCCCTAACAGCCTTGTGGCTGAACACAGCGCATCAAACCGGAGCATTAGCCTCGGCGCCCTCCTGAATTCCACCAAAAGGGCAGAAACAGAGGAAACTGGGGCAGTGCGGGGAGCAGGCAGGCGCAGAAGCTGGGAAGTGCTGGGGAAACGACAGCCACCGTGCAGACAAGAGGAGCTGACGCCAGCGGTGGGGGAGACCAGGTCGCACGCCAGCCTCTGCCGTGGAGCTCCAGAAAGGTCCAGAGGCCTTGGGGACAGTGGCAGGGTGGTTGGCTGGGAGTGTGCATGGGAGGTGGCCACACCCCTCCGCTTCTGCCCCGTCCCTGTCGGCAGATTATTGACGGTCCAGGGAGCTAACGCAGAGGGACCCGGGAGTGGGGCCTCCAGGAATGTGCTGGACTGAAGACAGGACTCGGGGGGGGGGGGTCACGCCGCTGAAACGAGACCCCGTTTTCCTCCCAGCACAGGGGCGGCCCGGTCTCTGGTCTGGGAAGGGGAGGGTCGGTTTCTCTGGAGGAACCGGCCAGTCTCCAGGACTATGACCTCTCACCCCCTGGGTATCCTGCAGGAAGCCACCCGTGCTTGGGGCGCCCAGGGGACCTTCAGGTGTGGGCACTGTGGACTCTGGAAGGAGGGCTCACATGAGAGGGGAGACCACCGCGGCCAACAGAAACAATTATTCCGTGAAAACTGAAAACCAAACCTAAACAGAAAACCTCTGTTGCAGCCCCGAAATGAGAACAGCTTGCTATTAAAACAAATTGGAGAACAGAGAATAACTGGAAATGAAAGCCGTGGTCGCAGAGTTAAGTTTGAGGGATGTGTATCACAGGACGTGGAGGAACCTTCCAGAGAGATGACACAAGGAGGAGACCGTAGGGAAAAGGGGAGAACCGAAGCGTCGTCCCAGGAGTGGTCCCGCAGAGAAGAGGGCGAATCCATGGGAGAGGATGCCGAGCCGGGACTGCTCCGGACCTGGGACGTGCTTCTGGATGGAAAGGCCGGTGAGTGACCGGCCCTGCGATGAAAGGAACCCCGCCCAGCCGCGACTCCACGGGGGGTGAGATCGTGTTAGGGTCTAAAGAAGAAAAACTTTCAGAGAGAAGAAACCAAGCTGCCTGACACGGTGAGAATCAGGGTGGCATCATGTCAATACTTCTCAACCCCAACCAAACATTCCTAAGCCACGTCCGTCGTTGTGCCAGGGTGTTTCAGACAGTCCCGGCGCAGAGGTCCGGCCTCCTGTGTCATTTTTCTCATGAGGTTACTGGAGGGTGGGCTTCTGGGAGAATCAGGACTCCACCCAAAAAGAAGGCGGCAGGGCTCCCCCTGGGGTCCCTCATTGCAAACAGCAGAACGCACCCCAACTGCTTTACTAGGAAGGGACATATTGAAGGCATTGAGTAGCTCAAAATTTATAACAAGGAGGTCAGGCGTGGAGGCTCAGGCCTGTAATCCCAGCACTTTGGGAGGCCAAGACGGGGAGGATCGATAAAGCCCAGGGTTTGAGACGGGAATGGCAACATAGCGCAACCCCGTCTCTGCAAAAAATTAAAACATTAGCCAGGCACAGTAGTGCATGCCTGCAGTCCCAGCTACTCGGGAGGCTGAGGCAGGAGGATCGCTTAAGCCCAAGAATTCGAGGCTGTAGTGAGCTATGGTGGTGCCACTGCGCTCTACCTGGGTGACAGAGTGAGACTTTGTCTCTAACAACAACAACAAAAAAAAGTAAAGGACAAAATGATTTCCAAGAAGGACCCAAAAATCTGGGCTGGAGTCCGCACTCGTGCAGCCTCTGAGAGCCAGACACCCCCACTAGCTCGCCAGGAAATGTGCTCTCGGGCCTCTGCGTCCCCACACTGCTGCAGAGCCTGGGCATAGACCTGCACTCCGGGCAGGATAGCTGGGGAAGGCTGGGGAAAGCAGTTTCCCATGAAAGCTGGGGCTCAGGAGGTGAGAAGTTAGCAAAACGTCGTAGGGATGCTTTTTGGTGCTGACAGGCAGGACACAGGACAGACGTCCTCTGAGTGTAGGACACAGGGGGGGGCACAGGGAACGCCCAGGTTGCTGGGGCGGGAGGTTGCAGGACAAGAGCTCTGCCCTGGGGCTCAGGGGCAACTGGTCTGAATTGGAGCAGGACCAAGGGCTCCAGGAAGAAAGGCTCCAAAAGGGAAAGAGAAGGAAAAGAGGTTAACTGATGTTCTTGCAGAGAGAAGAGTTAGACTTCTGGTAGAGATTCAGGGATCAGTTAGTGACATACAGAAGAAAATAAGCAATGTTAAAAGCCAAAGCAACAATTAACTCCAGGAAGGCAAAAGTTGTATATATATAAAACTAATCATAACCCATATATGGCACAGCTGTGAATACATTTTTATGATCATAATTATGTAAACACTCATTATTGATTTACTCAAAAATTGTAATAGGGATATATCGGTGAGACCGGGGAGAAGTGTGAATATTTGGGAGGCAGAGAACCGGGCGTAAGAAAGCTGAATCTTGGGCTTCCATATTCAGTGGTAGGTGATGTCTGACAGAGAAAATGGAAAGACAGTAGTGGACGAGAGGCAGGGGCTGCTGTTTCTGTCATGCCCCAGCGCCGGCTGGCTGCGCCTTCCCTGTTTTTCCTTGACAGACTGTTACAATGTTATTCGTCTTCTCAAAGCACCAACTTTTGGCTTTGTTGATTCTTTCTATTATATTTTCATTTTTATTAATTTCTGCTCTCATTTATTATTTCCTTTTTATACTTTTTGTTTATTGTTTCTTTTCTATTAAGTTGACTGCTTTAGCTCATTAATTTTCAGCTTTCTTATTTTCTAATATTATACAAGTATTTAAGATGAATTTTTTCCTGAGACCATATATTAGCCACATTCCACGTTTTGATTACATGGAGTATCTAAATTTATGTGCACTATATAAAGTGCTGCATTAGTAAGTAGAGTATGTGTACTTCTCTTTGATATGTGGTCTCCCGTGCCCCATATTTCAGTTCTAAATACTTTCTAACTTGCATTATTTTTCGTTTGAATCCATAGTCATCTATAATGATATCTCCTAATTTCCTTACATGTGGCTCTCTCCCCCTAATCCGCTTTCGGTGCACATTTCTGATCTTCAATCTAAACTCTCGTGTCGCCTCCAGGACGTCTCCAGGGCAGGCCTGCAGGTGGCAGCCTTGTCAGTTTGTGTCTCAGAATGTCTCCGTGCGTGTTGGAGACTGTTTTCACTGGGTGTTGAGGTTTGGTGTCTTCTGATCTCCTTTCTGCCCTTCGAGGGTATCGTTTCACTGCTTCGTGACGTCCGTGATCGCTGCTGAGAAGTCTGCCGCCATCTCTGCTGTTCTTCTGTAGGTCGTCTCTTCTAAAGGTGCTTTTGGAATCCTGCCTTCGAGGTTCTGCAGTCCGTCCCGTGGACGTTGCCTGTGCGTTCTCCTCGTCACAGCTCTGGGGGCCGAGGGCCCGTGTCTTTCATCCATTCTGCACGGTCCCCCTCCTTCTTCTCACGCGCCGCGCGTTTCTCGTTCTCTGCTCTCTGTGTGGGTCCCGCCATGCGTGTGGAGACCTTCTCTTGGTCACGCCCCGTGTCTCCGTGTGGAGACCTTCTCTTGGTCACGCCCCGTGTCTCTCCGCTGCTCTCTCAGTGGAGAGAGCATCTCCGTGTCTCCAGCATCCTGTCCGTGTTCCTTTCTGGGTAGTCCCGGCACTCCCCGTTTCAGTTTGCCGGTTCTCTCTTCCGTTGTGCCTCGTTCTCTGTTTAATCTACACATTGTGCTTCTGTTCAGTCTCTGCTTTTTATTTTATAGAAGTTTTATTTGGTTACTCGTCATAACTGCTTTTCTGCAGTATGTTCTCACCTTCTTTACGCTTTTTTGCCCTTTACTGATTTAAAAGTACCTTTCCTTGGACTTGGTACCCAGCCCTGCCTGCCCGTTACCTCTGTGTCTTCCGGTTATCTTTTCTGGGGAGGGCCTCTGAGGCTTTCTTTGATTACAAATCGAGCAAAGCTTTTTGCTTTCATGTAGCATTTTTAAAGGAAAGGGCATTTTATTTATCGTGAGTTGAATACTTTTTAATGTTCCTCTTTGAAGGTACATTTTAAAGTAAATATAGTACATGGTCATTGCAGAAAAATTAGAAAATATAAATAAGCTTAAAGAAGGAAATAGAAATTGCCTGTAATGTCACCCTCTGGAGAGAAACACTTTGGTATTTTGCTGTATCCACCCGAGGTTTTAGTTGCAAACGTACGTGTGTGTTCGCTTTTACCGTTCTCAAGACTGCCACCATGGTGAACCTACCTTGCTTTTATCACCCAATTTGCCTTTTAAAATAGTAGTTGTGTTTGTGTAGTGGAAATGCTTTTAGTTTCAAAAACAGTGGAAATAACGTTCATTTATCTATACAAACGGTGCGCTATTAACAAACGAAATAAAAACAAGCAGAAATGGGGAGTAGAGGTGGGGCCGGGCGTGGGCGGGAATCAGGCTCCTGACTGTGCCCATTCTCGTGTCCCCTGCAGAACATCTCCTGGGTCACCTGGAACAGGCCAAGAGCCTTGCTCCAGGCAGCCAGAGCGAGGTGTCCCCCGAGAAGGAGCCAGAGGCGCCCCGGGGGGACGCCCCTGCAGTGCCCGGGAATGAGAGCGTTGGGGCCACCAAAGAACAGAAGAAAAAGCCTCGAAGGGGGAGAAAACCCAAAGCATCCAAGACCGAGCAGCCTCTAGTCATCGTTGAGGACAAAGAGCCGGCAGGTGAGGTGGGGTCCTGGGTGAGTCTCCTGCGGGGCACGGGCTTCCTGGCGTGCGGGGGGCCAGGAGGCGGGGGGAGGGGCCTGAGACCAGGTCAGCTGGGTGCCAGGTGGGAAAGCTCAGCGCAGAGCAGTGGCAGGGAAGGGGGGACTGCGCCTTCTCCTGTGTCTCAGTCGGTGCAGAGGATTGGGGTAATGTTGTGATGTGGTTTTAAATAAGAATCCGGCCGGGCGAGGTGGCTCACGTAATCCTAGCACTCTGGGAGGCCGAGGCGGGAGGATTGCTCGAGGTCAGGAGTTTGAAACCAGCCTGAGCAAGAGCGAGACCCCTGTCTCTACTAAAAAAATAAATTAATTGGCCAACTAAAAATATAGAAAAAATTAGCCGGGCATGGTGGCGCATGCCTGTAGTCCCAGCTACTCGGGAGGCTGAGGCAGGAGGATCGCTTGAGCCCAGGAGTTTGAGGTTGCTGTGAGCTAGGCTGACGCCACAGCACTCACTCTAGCCCAGGCAACAGAGTGAGACTCTGTCTCAAAAAGAAAAAAAAAGAATCACAAGTTATGAGCTCAGTTTGGGGAGAGAAAGGCATTTTCCCTTCCTGTATGTGCAAGGAAACCTGTGGGCCCACAGTCCCGCCAGGTCTCCTCTCCTGTGCGAGCCGTGACAGCCGTGTGCGTGCCGTGGCCTGGCTGCAGCCCCGTGTCTGTCGCCTGCTCTGCCGGTGACTGGGCTTGCCGTGTCCCCCCGCACAGAGCAAGTGGCAGAGATCGTTGCCGAGGTCCCCCCGGACGAGCCTGTGAGCGGGACGCCGGACGAGCGGATGATGGAGCTGGTCCTGGGCAAGCTGGCCGGCAGCGCCGCGGACGCCAGCCCCGTGCCAAAGTGAGTCCTGCGCGCCAGCCGTCCCGTGGGCACTCGGCGCTGGGGCGGCTGGGGCGTTCCGGAAGGGCCCCCGCCAGGAGGGACGGAGACGTGCTTGGGAAGCAGCAGGAGTGTTCTGGAGCTCCGGAGCGTGACAGTGCGTCCACTGTCAGCTCAGCTGTCAGGAACATTTATTTATTGTGATAAAATATACGTGACGTAACATTCAGCATTTTAGCTGCGTTTAAGTGTGCAGGTCAGTGGCATTCAGTGCACTCGCACTGTTGTGCAGCCATCAACACACTTTGATGGCCGTCCATCAGAGAACTCCAGAACTTTCCAGAACTTTCCAGAACTTCCTCATCTTCCCGAACTGAAACCCTGTCCCCGTGAAACACTTGGCTCCCCAGCCCCTGGCGCCCCCCACTCTGCTGCCCGTGTCTGTGAGTCTGGCCACTCTAGGGACCCGCGGGAGTGGGACCACACGGTCTTCGTCCTTTCGTGACTGGCCTGTTTCCCTGAGCACAGGGTCCTGGGGGCTCGTCCACGTCCACTGGGGGACACTTGGGCCGCTCCCCCCTTGACTGCCGTGAAGGGTGCTGCCGTGATAAAACAGCTTTTTATTTGAATTTTGGTAAAGTTACCATCTCATTCTGTGTTCCTCTTTTCCTTTTCTGTTTTTGAACAAAGAAAATATTTGTGTTTTGTTATTATTCTTGGGTAAATTTTTGCCCTGAAGCTGAATGCACTGGTGGTCATTATTTTTCTTTGGCCCTTTCTGGAGTGTCCCAGAGCCGCAGGGTGTGCCTGGTGCCCCGGCAGGTCCTGGAGCTGAGGCCAAAGCACTGTCAGAAATGACGGGCCCCACCTGCATGTTTATACCGTCTCATTGCCCGGAGGATTCCGGGGCTCACCATCAAAACATGCCCAGTAGGGGGAAGAAATTTTTTTAAAAAAATCAGATTCAGATAAAATATAAAACAGAGAGTCAAGAGCAAGTGAGGAAAACAGAACACAGATGTGATTGTTCTAGTTGAGACACGGGTCACCTCCGAGCTTTCCCGTGGCCACGAACCAGGGGGTGTGCGGCTGTGCAGAAGGGACTAACTTTTGCCATTCAGTCTTCGAGGTGCCATCCCTGCAGGTGCCCTGGAGGCTGGGTGTCGCCGCGGCAGTTCCCACCTTCCTCGCACAGAGGTGCAGCTTTAGCCGGGCAGCTCTGGGAGGGGGCTGTTTCCAAGATGATTGTAGCCTGAACTCTCTTCCCCGGCGGGCGACCCAGTCTCCCACCGTCTCTACCGGTCTGCTCCTCCCCGGGCAGGTTCGCCCACCACCAGGGCGGCGGCATCTCCCTCAAGCGGAGCCTGATCCTGTCGGGCAGGCACGGCATCCGGCGCAAGCTCATCAAGCAGCTGGGGGAGCACAAGCGGGTGTACCAGTGCAGCATCTGCAGCAAGGTCTTCCAGAACAGCAGCAACCTCAGCCGGCACGTGCGCTCCCACGGTGAGGACGGCGGCAGGGCGGCCCTGTCTGCCACCGCCGGGTCCCCGTGGGCCAGCCGTGCTGCAGGGGGGCGCCGGTCTCTCCGGTGGGCGTCCCCCCCGACACAGAGGGAGCGGGAGGGCCCCCCTAGAGCTCGGCACAGCACCCCGTCTTCCAGTGCGTGCTCCAAGTAGCAAAGCCCCCGCCTGCCGCTCGCGCCCACAGGTGACAAGCTGTTCAAGTGCGAGGAGTGCGCAAAGCTGTTCAGCCGCAAGGAGAGCCTGAAGCAGCACGTGTCTTACAAGCACAGCAGGAACGAGGTGGGTGGCACCACCGGGCCGTCTCCGTTGGGTGGGAGAGGAGGCGCTGACGGGAGGCTGGGCAGTGAGGCTGCCTGAGACGGGGATTCCTTTCCGAGGGCGGCGAGAGTGCGCGCTCCCTGTTCCCAGATAGAGCGGGAGCGAGCAGCGGAAAGAGCTGCGGCAGACACCGCTGTAGGGTGGCTGGGGCGGGCGGCGCCCAGGGCTGGTCCCTGGGGGCTCTGCCTGGGGCCTCACGAGGGCGCGCCCCTTCGCGCAGGTGGACGGCGAGTACCGGCACCGCTGCGGCACGTGCGAGAAGACCTTCCGCATCGAGAGCGCGCTGGAGTTCCACAACTGCAGGACAGGTGAGGGCCGCCCCGCCTCTGCCGTCGCCCTGCGCGGCGGGCCGGGGCGCTGTGGCGGGAGTCAAGATGGCGTGGGCACGAACAGCCTCACTTTCGACACTCCTTCCGTGCCCGTGGCTGCAAAGCGCTTGTTGCGGCTCTGAAGACACAGGAGGCTTTCTGTGTCAGAGGGACATGTCTGTGCCCTTCGTTAGTCAGCCAGGCCGTCTGTGGCCCTGGCGTGGGGCGCTGTAGGTGGGGGTCCACCTCTGGGGGCCATGCTCGCTGGGAAGGGGCGCAGCGGTGCACGGCGTGTCCGGGACCACGTGAGGAATGAAAGAAAGACGGGCAGTGGCTTGGGGAGCCAGGCTCTGCCACCTTGACCGTTGGGTCTCCTTCGTCCGTCTGTCCTGCATCGTCCAGGGGGGCACTGTGGCCACCTCGCAGGGATGCTTAGTTCTGAGCCCACATCTGCGCCCCAGTCTCCAGAAGTGGGGTGTCGGGTGAGGCGGGAGGCTGGCCGTGCCTGGACAGGCCTTGGCGGAGGGGCCACCGCACCCGGGGGGTCTGAGGCCGCACCTGTCAGGCCAGGCTAGAAACGCGTCTGCGCAGCAAGGCGGCCACGGCGCGGCTGCGTCTCCCGCGTGCTCCGTGGTGACAGTGTGCTGCCCTCTGGGGCCACACCTCCCTCCCAGCGTCCAGTGGGGCCCCCGCGGTGGGTGGTCCCAGAGGGGGCAGAGGGAGGGTCGCAGTTGCCTTGGTGTCCTCCCTCTCCAGGACTCGAGCAGACCCGGGGCGTGGGGGTAGCCAGCGGCCGTGGCCTAGGGACCCACAGGCCAGCCTGCGACACCCACCCGATCTTGCCGGCTGTTGCCCTCCGTGTCTGGTGCTTGCCTCTCTGCTGGCTCTTGTTGAGGTGCCGCCGCCCTGTGCCCCTGGAGAGCCATGGGCCTGCGTCCGTGGACTCGCGCTGTCCTGGGGCTGCTCCCCGGCACCTGCAGGGCCCCTCTGCCTGGTCGGCTCTGCTCTGGGGGCTCCCGTGTGGAGCTGTCCACCGTGCTTCTGCCCTGGGCAGGGCTGTCCAGGCGGCAGGCACCAGTCACATCCACCTCAGCTTTAACTGCTGGAAAGGCTCTGTGTCCAAGGCATGGAGTGGCTTCCGGAAGCTTCCAGATGAGCTTCCAGTGTGCTGCACCACCCGCATTTTAAGCCCTCCCCTCCCAAGTGTTCGCAGGAAACCTGGGGACAGGTGCCTGACTGCGTTTGCATTGGGTGCAGCCGCAGCGGACAGAGGAACCTGAATCTCATTTGCTAGCTCCCCCGTGGTCCCCAAGGGTGTGCAGGAGAGCAGCAGGTTCCTGAGGCTGTGGCTGGTGTCTGGGGTGCTTGGGAGGCAGGCTTAGGCTGAGGGGCAGCAGGTGGCTCTTGTTGTTTTTAACTGTGTCTCTGGACACAGATGGAACAGTAATAGAAGCAGCCAGAGCAGCAGCTGCTACGTGTCAGCTAGAAGTTCTGTTAAGCCAGATGTTCATCTTTGCTTGTGTTTTTAGAGACAGGGTCTGGCTCTGTCACCCAGGTAGAGTGCTGTGGCGTCATCATAGCTCACTGTAGCCTCGAACTCCTAGGCTCAAGCCATCCTCCTGCCGCAGCCTCCCTAGGACTACAGACATGCTACCACACCCAGCAAATGTTTATATTTTCTTTTTGTAGAGATGGGGTCCTGCTGTGTTGCTGAGGCTGGTCTAGAACCTGCGCCTTGGCCTCCAAAATGCTAGGATTACAGGCATGCGCCACCTCTCCTGGCCTGGCCTGTCTTTTTTAATTCTGTAGAGCCACCAAAGTGGCGGTGAATTGTGATACAGTTTCTCTTCTAAGATGCTCTAATTTCGAAGGTTAGAAGTTTAGGCTGAAATGGAGGCTAAACCTTGAAATGGGGGTCGTGTGCCCTGTTTCCTGCCTGATGTGACCCTTTTTTATCGTACAGAAGTCAGAATGTGCATCTTCCGTAGACCAGGAAATTGTGCAGAAAAGCTTTAAAATCCGTAGTCTGGTGGGTTTTCTCAGGTTCCCTCCACAGGACCCGTCTTGTTTTCGTCCCCGTGCCGTGGCGAGGTGCTGACGTAACGTGTCCGAGTGTCCCTCGTGGCGGCTGACCACCAGCGCTGCTCTGGGAGTCTCCGTGGCTCACACCCAGGCCCTGGGGCAGGACACGGACCGTCACCGTCACCCTCCCTGCGGCTTGGCTCCCCAGAAACCCACTCTCCCGTCTCCCGGTGACGTGTGCCCCAGGCCCGGCCTCAGATCCCGATAGGCGTCTGTTCTCACCCGCTCCGCTTGTTAAAACAGACACGGCCTCGGCGGTGGCGGGATCGCTGGTGGGAGCAGGGTTGTTGCCGGGATTCCGCAGCTGGGGATGTGAGGGTGGCCGCGGCAGGAGGAGCCACCCTCACTGACGGAGGCCAGGGCAGCTCTGCTCCCTCCGGGCTGAGCCACCTCCCAGCGCAGGGAGCAGTGTGCAGTGGGTTCTCCGTCCGCGAGCCTAGGGGGGCTTGTGGGGGAGGAAAGCGAAGCCCAAGAGCAGCAGTGCTGCCTTCTGTGGCCACTGCCAAGCCCTAGGGCCAGTGGGGCCACCTGGCCATGAGGGAGGCCCACCTGTGCTGTTCAGTACCTGGCCATGAGGGAGGCCCACCTGTGCTGTTCAGTACCTGGCCATGAGAGAGGCCCACCTGTGCTGTTCAGTACCTGGCCAGGAGGGAGGCCACCTGTGCTGTTCAGTACCTGTCCAGGAGGGAGGCCCACCTGTGCTGTTCAGTACCTGTCCAGGAGAGAGGCCCACCTGTGCTGTTCAGTACCTGTCCAGGAGAGAGGCTCACCTATGCTGTTCAGTTCCTATCCGGGAGGGAGGCTCACCTGTGCTGTTCAGTACCTGGCCAGGAGGGAGGCCCACCTATGCTGTTCAGTTCCTCTCCGGGAGGGAGGCCCACCTGTGCTCTTCATTATCTGTCTGGGAGGGAGGCTCACCTGTGCTGTAACCCCGCCCCACCCCACCACGCCCCGCCCCGCCCTACCCTAGGTGTGGCGCCCGTGAGCAGAGGTGGCCTCCTCACCGCCGCCTGCTGTCTTGCTGGCAGGCCCTGGGGTGGCCGAGCGGCCGGGCAGATCACCCTTCTCTGCTGCCCACGTGGGAAGAGACCAGGCGTCTGACCCTGTCCGTGCCGAGGGCGTCGATTTCCCGCCCCCTGGGCTGACGCCGGCATCTCCCGAGTGAAGGCAAAGACCTACTGAGGCCGCGTCCTGCCCCGGAATCAATCCATTGGTCCTGCCCAGTGGATCTCAGCCTGGAGCGGGGAGGGCCCTGCCCCCAGGGGACATTGGCAGTGTCAGGGGACGTCTGGTTGTGGCAGCTGGCTCGGGGCAGGGGTGCTCCTGGCGTCTAGTGGGAGGAGGCTGGGGACGCTGCCGGACCCCCCGGTGCACAGGCTGGCAGGCGCCCTGGAGAGAAGTGTCCAGCCCAACATGTCCCAGTGCTGGGGCTGGGCAGGCCAGGCGGTGGGCCCTCAGGTTCCGAGTGACGCCGTTGTGCAGCAAAGCAGGGACACACTGGTTGGAGTCATTGTGGAAATGGCACCTCTCGGTGCGGTCTTGGAGATTTGTATGTTTGGCATACATAACGTTTACTGGGTGCGGGAGCTGGTCGGCGGGCTAGCGCCCAGGGCCCAGCACTGGCGACGGCATGGTCTGTCCTGGCGGCCTCGCTCTGCAGAGGGACACGCACCTGTGCACCTGTGTGCGAGGCGCAGGAGAGAGAGCAGCTCTGCTGGGCGAGTGGGGCTGGCTGGGGAGGAGGCGAGGGGTCCCAGGGACGCGGGGGCCGGGCTGAGGCGACCTGGGGTCGGTGCTGTGGCGGGAGCCCTGGGGTGCTGTCGGGGTCCTGGGTGGGGCAGAAGCAGAGGTTTGACTGGGGGTCTTTGAGGAGGGGCGAGAGCGGAGGCCTGGGCGCAGGACGGGTGTTTCTGGAGGCTCTGCAGAGTGTGTGCGTGTTTATGTGTGTGTTAGTGTGGTGTGTGTGAGCGTGATTTGTGTTGTACATTTGGTGTGTGTGTCGAGGGTGCATGTGCTAAAGGGGACCGAGGAACGAGGCGCTCAGGTTGGAAGGTGTGTGGGAATTTGGGCCCGTTGGCGCCGTGGGCAGGTGGGGAAAGGCAGGTGGGGGAGGAGGGCTGGGACCGCAGCCGGGGGGGGGGGGTGTGGAGGGCGAGGGCCACGGCGGGAGGGAGGGCCCTGGGGGGGCAGCAGGTGCTCGGGACGGAGGTGAGCACGGTGCTTGCTTTTTGAGTGGAGAAGCCCCTGGATCACGTCTACTCCCTGCCGCGTCTTGTGCCCCGGGGCAGGTGGCACGTGACTTGCAGGTGACATCCATTCCTGGCCACGCCGCCCTTGTGCGCCTCCCTCCCCCAGCTTCGCCACGGCCACGGAGGCCACGCGCTCGCGCCTGCGTCAGAGGGCATCCAGCTCAAAACCGCTGTGTCTGTTTGCTCTCTGGACAGATGACAAGACGTTCCAATGTGAGATGTGTTTCAGATTCTTCTCCACCAACAGCAACCTCTCCAAGCACAAGAAGAAGCACGGGGACAAGAAGTTCGCCTGTGAGGTCTGCAACAAGATGTTCTACCGCAAGGACGTCATGCTGGACCACCAGCGCAGGCACCTGGAAGGTGAGCCACCTGTCCGGGGCGCACACCTGGGGTAGGGCAGGGATGGCCGGGGCACCTGGGACACACCGGGCCACGCCTGCTCTGGTGTCTAGAAACGGCCACCGTTGAGCACATGACACTGTCTGGGAACTGGCCCCGGTGGCAGAGAGCCGGGACACGGGCCAGCCACGCCGCGTGCAGGTGGAGCGGGCTGGGACGCCTGAATGCACCACGGCGGGAAAGAGCTCAGGAAGCCAGGCCGTTCCTAGGACTCAGGGTTGTGCAGTCATTGAAAGTGTCTTCCAAAGGCACTAGGTCCCATGACAGATGTTCAGTGTGGCAGAAAGCGGGAAAAGCTACGAGCAGCCGCCCTTTTGCTGACCAGCGCTTTGTAAATCACCGACCAAAGCACCTTCTTATAAAAATTTAGAAAAAAATCACATTTGTAACAGAGAATTACAAACAAAGCTTTATGCTTGTTGAAAACGTGAGCTGACAAAGTCGTATGTAAAGTATAGCTGTCTCCATACAAACATGCTCGTGTTGTTGTGCCTGTTTTGAAAAACAAGACTGACCCGGGTGCAGGGACTCACACCTGCAATCCCAGCACCTTGGGAGGCCAAGGCAGGGGGATCACTTGAGACCCAGGAGTTCAAGACAAGCCGGGGCAACATAGCAAAACCCCATCTCTACAAAAATTAAGAGAAAGTTAGCTGGGCGTGGTGTCACGTACCTGTAGTCCCAGCTACTTAGGAGGCTGGGGCGGAAGGGTCACTTGAGCCCAGGAGTTTGAGGTTGCAGTGAGCTGTGATCACGCCACTGTACTCCAGCCTGGGCGACAGAGCGAGACCCTGTCTCAATATAGGTAAATAAATAACAAGATGGGATTTGCATCCTACGTCATTTTTTGCACTTGACTTTTTTACCTAACTCTTCTTCATGTTGGCTCAAGAAGATGCACAACGTGTTTCTTTGTGATTCCTTGGGGTGGCACGCTCATGGTCTCCACGAGGTGACCAGTCAGCCTTCAGCAAGCGACTGTGCCTCAATTTCCCCACCTGTACGGGGGAGACAGGAATCATGCCCTACCCCTGGAGTTGGGGTGAGGGTTGAACCAGACCCTGCTCAGGAAGCCCCTCACACAGCGCTGGCGCAGGGCCCGTGCTCCTAAATGCCGGCGCTGTGGTTGCGGGGGGTCATCTGTCCCCTGTGAGGCTGCACCGTGCAACATACGTGTAACTCGGGCCGTGTCCTGTGGGAATAAACTCAGCCGTGACTGGTTCACGCTCCTCCCTGTGCACTGGAGCTTAGTCCGGACCCTCCCCAGACTCCCGCTGCCTGTCCTGCTGGTGCCGCCGTGGCTTTGGGGAACGGCCCGCGTGGCCGCACCCAGCTTGCCAGCGGGCGGCAAGTCTGTGGCTCTGCGCTGGGGCCTGGCATGGCGGGTGTGTCCACAGAGCAGTCAGCAGTGCAGGGAAAGCCAGGGGGCACCTCCCTCTCGTCCAGGTGACCTGCTGCACTCGAGCTTCCAAAGGTCTGTTTTGATCCCGGTTCTGAGCAATATGGCTTAGAGCCATAAAGATTTTACCAGCTGACTTTTCACCCTGATGCTGATTTGGCTGATTTAATTTACAAGGGATGAATATCAGTATCTCTTTAATAAAGAACATCCGCCTAACTCCAGCCGTGTGAAAGAGCCGTAACCGGGCCCGGAGCCCTGGGCGGGGCGAGAACACCTCTTCACGGGGCCCCTGGCGGCTCTCCCTCTCCCTGGGATTTAAAACGCTCCATTCCCTCCTTTTGCCAAGTGATCCGGACTCGGTAACTGTCACAGAGTCCCCTCGCTCCTGGGAGCCGCGTGGGGAGCAGCAGTGTGCAGGGGCAGCGCTCACACGGTCCCTGTGCCTCGCGTGGGCAGCCCTGCGCTCCCGCCCGGGGAAGGCCCCGGCTGGACGGGCGTCCGATTGGCCGTCCGTGCCCCGGCGCTCACGCTCTTGCCGGCGGGGTGGGGATTTCAGGAGTGCGGCGGGTGAAGAGAGAGGACTTGGAAGCCGGCGGGGAGAGCCTGGTCCGCTACAAGAAGGAACCTTCCGGATGTCCAGTGTGCGGCAAGGTAACTCGCTGTCGGTGCAGGAGGCTGGGATGGAAAGCACGTCGTTCTCGTAAGTTAAGACTCAGAGCCGTGCCCGTCGAGTATCGGGGGCAAGATTCTTCCGGTCACGATGGGTGCTCAGGCTGCCTGAACCTGAAGTGTCCCCATTTGCACATTTGTCCGTGGTGTGACCTGCATGGCGCTCAGACCACGCTCTCCCTGACGTCACCGTCACGGCCACGTCAGGCTGCCACATGAGAATGGGCTCATTCTCTGCAAACGAGCGCCTGATCTTCACTAGAAATGCTGTCTCCCAGCTCTCGTGGCCGCCGTGTTTGCAAGATGTCAGCCTTGTCCTGGGTGGACTAGAGCGTGCGTCCCTCCTGGCATCCACGTGCTGCAGAGCAGAGGCTCGGAGACAGGCTTCCACGCAAGCCCTGAGCCCCAGCAGGTCTGGCACATGGCTCTAGGAGCCACCAAGAGGAGGGACAGTGATGAATCCGTCACAGCCAAGCACAGGTCACAGGGGCCGCCTGGCGCTGGTGTCCTGGCGCGATGTCCCACAGCAGCTGGGGGTGCAGGCCCCAGGGACCGCCAGCTGGGACCGGCCCAGCTGCCCCGCCTGCTGGCACAGGCAGCATTGCCAGACCTTTTGACCAAACAGAAACATGTTTTTGTATGAAATTTCCTGATTTTTTTTCAGACCATAAAGCAGGCCAGAGTAGATGGTCAGCAGGGCAGTGTGGCCTGAGGGCTTGAGTGGGTTTGGGGGCAGGCGAGGCTGGGGTGGGGCAGAGCGGGGGGAACGGGGGCGTGTGCGTGGGCCAAGATGGCCGGGCCTGGTTGTACACAGGGCAGAGCCCGTGCCCCATGTCACGTGTCCCTGGTCCTTGGGGAGAGCCTGCCCCGTGTTGAGCGTCACTGCCCTGGGGGAGCCTGCCCCCCACCCCTTGCACGCCGCTGGAGATCACGCGTGTGAAACCACCCGCTCTGCGCAGGGCGTTGGGATGTTCCATCCCGTGCAGCGTGGACTGAATTCCCATCAAGGGTCGCGGCAGGTAGCGAATGGCACATGTGGTTTTATAGCCGAGTTCTTCTCCCTTTCCAACCGCTTCTGACCGTCAGTTCAGGCTTCCCTGACAAAGGAGGCAGCTGACACCTGCAAACTCTTCCTTCCCCAATCCTGCTCCCCTCCCACCTGGCGTCCCTGGGATGTGGGCACAGCGCTGCTGGCCCCGAGTCCCTGCACACCTTCTTGCCCCCCGGGAACAGGAGCCTCCCGCCCCTCCTGAAACGCTCGTTCCCTTTCATTCACCTCTTGCGTTCTCTGAACGAGAACGTGGGCGTCAGGCGAGCGCTGGAGACCTGCACCCGGGCTGCCTGGCCCCTGGGAGCGGCGTCCCGTGGGAGACCGGCACAGACCTGTGAGGAGGGGGCCCGGGACCCTGGCGGGGGCCCACTCTGTGCTAGGCCGCACAGGGCCACATCTGTCTTGGGGGCCGCAGTGTGCCCAGTCCTGTGCTGGCCACAGAGGTGGCCCACGAACAGTGTCGGGCATTGACGTGAATGTGCGGGAGACAGTACACGAGCTGAAGGTGTCTTTCTCTCTGGTGCCCACTCTCAGAAAGTCACAGGTTCTCCGTGGTTTACCAGCTCCTTCATGGGCTCTGTCCTAGCGAAATGTTGAAGTGACCTAAAACATTGGGCTGAGCCACGACTTACAGTGACGACTAGATAGTGGTTAATTCCATAACATAACGTGAGCACATATTAAAACGTGCCAGCAGATGATCCTGACTCGGCATCTCTGATTGCTTGCGTGTCTCAGTGCAAATACCCGGGACTTAGAGCCTGGAAAGCAGACGTCCGGCCTCTGTGTGCCTGGCTGTGGTTTGTGCCGGGGAGTCCGCCGGTGACAGCCCTGCATGTCCCGCGGTGCCACACCCCCTCACCACGCCGGCTCTCCCGCCCACAGGTGTTCTCCTGCAGGAGCAACATGAACAAGCACCTGCTGACCCACGGCGACAAGAAGTACACCTGCGAGATCTGCGGGCGCAAGTTCTTCCGCGTGGACGTGCTCAGGGACCACATCCACGTCCACTTCAAGGTGCCGGTCGCAGGCCACCCTTGCCCAGGCACAGAGGCCCCGGCCAGCGTCTGTCTTAGCTCGGGCTGCCGTGACAGTCACGCGGACGGGGCTCCTGAGCAGCAGGCGTTTGTTTCTCACCGTTCCGAGGCTGGACGTCCAAGGTCGAGGCACCTGTAGATCGGTGTCCGGTGAAGGCTGCTTCGCCTTCCCGCTGGGTCCTCGCAGGGGGAAGGGACGAGGGGTCGCTCTGGGGTCCCTTTACGAAGGCACTGATCCGTTCCCTTCACAAGGGCTCTTCCTGGAGGCTTGGTCACCTCCCAGCGGCCTCACCTCTTAACACCGTCACCTGGGCAGTTAGGTCTGGGGGACAGACACACCGCCTGAAATAGGTGCCAGTCTGGCCCCGCCGGTCTGTTCAGAGTGGGCTCTGGTGGCGGTCACTGCAGCTAGGGCAGCCCCGCTGCAGGGCAGGAGTCAAGTCCTCCCCGCCAGGTGCTCCCCCACTGGCCTCCCCTCCCCTGCCCTGGAGGAAAGCAAGGGCTTGAGCGGGCGCGTGAGGGGGAGCAGTGAGGACTCGGGGTGTGGCAAAGGTCGGGAGACGCTGAGCAAGGGACTGTGGTGCCGCAGGCCCGGGTGGAAGCGGAGTGTCCGGACTGAGGGTCAGCGCCCGGCCAGCCCGAGGGACTCCCCACAGGGCCAGGGCTGGGATCCTGCAGGGCCTGAGAGGAGCAGACGGGGGTGCAGAGAGCAGTGGTTCCAGCGTGGGGCGGCCCGGGGCCAGCTGGGGGGCGGCCTGCACCTGCCGCAGGAGGGCCAGCTTGTTAGGGCGTCAGGGAGGCGTTTCCCTCTCCATGTGGGTGAAGTTCAGCCGGCCCCTTAGCGCAGGCAGCCAGGCTCCCGCCCGCCGTTAGAGCCGCTGCGCCGTCTTCCAGGACATCGCGCTGATGGACGACCACCAGCGGGAGGAGTTCATCGGCAAGATCGGCATCTCCTCGGAGGAGAACGACGACAACTCTGATGAGAGTGCAGACTCGGAGCCCCACAAGTACAGCTGCAAAAGGTGCCAGGTGCGTGCCGCCCGCCCCACACGCCGGGGCCCCTGGGGGATGCCGGCAGGTGCAGGGCCGCAGGGACCGCACGGCACCGCTGCACAGACTGGAAGCGGCCACCCCCCCCAGGGCCTGGGGGGCCGAGCGCAGGCCGGGTGCTCACATGAGGGTGCTCACACTTGTCCGGGAAGGCCATCCCGTGTCCCCTCAGGGCTGAGGGGTGGTGCACGCGGTCTCACAGCCCCCACCCCAGGAACCTGCCCCTTGGCCTATGCGTGCTCGCACGTGCAGCGTGGGGCTGGGGCGGGTCGGTCCCCGGCAAGGTCTCCCGGCAAGGGGCTCCTCTCCCCACCCCAGACCTGAGGCCCCTCTCGGGGACCCCGTGCAGGGCAGAGGTCTGCTGAAAGGGAGGGGCTCTGTTTGCGAGGAGACCCATCTCCCGAGTGGGGCTCCACCACTGGGGGAAGCCCCGGCTCCCCGTCAAGGCCCCGGGAGCCCCCTTCTCTCTGGGGAGAGCGACGGGCCTGGCGTGTGCCGCCCAGTTAGCTGCGGCCCCAGGGACCGACTGTCTGTTTGCGCCGCAGCTCACCTTCGGCCGGGGCAAGGACTACCTGAAGCACATCATGGACGTGCACAAGGAGAAGGGCCACGGCTGCAGCATCTGCAACCGGCGCTTTGCGCTGAAGGCCACCTACCACGCCCACATGGTCATCCACCGCGAGAACCTGCCGGACCCCAACGTGCAGAAGTGAGCCCCCGGGGCGTCTTGCAGGAAGGGAGGGCACGCGTCTCCCTGCAAAGGGACAGAGCTGTCCAAAGCCGCGGGCAAGTTCCGTGCCCTAGGGCCAGGCCAGGCTGCGGGGAGGCTGGGCGCTGTGGCTCGGAGCTTCCCGGTGTCCCCGTGCCTGGACTCACAGCACACACAGGCCACGTGACGGGAAGACAGCAGGGTCCTGGGCCTGCCCACAGACCACCGGGACCCCTTCCCCCCATGGTAGTCGGGCGTCACTAATGCCGGGCCATGATGAGCGCTGATGGCGAGTAGTGAGTGAACGGGCCCGGCTGCAGCCCGATTAGACGCCCAGGGCTGCCCTGACATAGCAGGACGGGCGGCTTAAACCACAGACGTTGTCTCGCACAGCCCTGGAGGCCGCAAGTCCGGGGTCCTCCAAGGCCCCTCCACCGGGCTCGCAGACGGCGACTTCTCCCTGCGTGCGTCTGCGTCCGTCTCCTCTTCTCAGGGCAGACTGGGGCCCACCCACGAGACGGTGTTGCAGTCTAATCCCCTCTGCAAAGACCAGTCCCCAGACGCGGCCGGCTCTGCAGTGCTGTGGGTCGGGGCGTCATCCGATCACGGGGCGGGGGCCACGGTCAGCCGTGACGGAGGCAGAAACACTGGCTACTTGTCTCACCACGTGGCGCCACTTGCCTCCGGTGCCAGCAGGGTGCCTGGGGACGCGCCCTCTGTGCTCGCGCCCGGGCCCTGCGCCGCGCTGAGCGTGTCTGGTTTCAGGTACATCCACCCCTGCGAGATCTGCGGGCGCATCTTCAACAGCATCGGGAACCTGGAGCGCCACAAGCTCATCCACACAGGTAGCTGCGGGGGCTGGCGGGGGTCTCTATGCACAGCCCCGTGCCTTCTGCTGTTTCCCCAGCCGCTTCTGTCCCGCCTGCCCTGCGGCGACTCGGAGCACCCCCTCCCCGTCACCCCCTCCAGGGCCTCGGGGGCCTTCTCATGCCCCAGCCCCCCAGAGGGGCCCGGAGAGGTGACCCTCCTTGTCCCGCTGCGGCCAGGCCCTCTCCCAGGCGCTGCCTTTGCGGGGACCCCCCGGGCAGGGATTCGGGCCAGATGCCGGCGTGCCTTCTAGGTGTGAAGAGCCACGCCTGTGAGCAGTGCGGGAAGTCCTTCGCCAGGAAGGACATGCTCAAGGAGCACATGCGTGTGCACGACAACATCCGCGAGTACCTGTGTGCCGAGTGCGGGAAAGGTAGGTGCGGCCCCGGCTCCCACGGGACCGTCTCCGCGGGCCACCGGGTGCACGAGGGTGGAAACGCCACCTCCACTCACTGAAAGGAGGGGTCCGTGAGGATAGCACGTCCAAGTGCAGAAGGCACCGCCAGGGCACCCCAGGGGCCCGCGGGCTTCGGTGAATTGCGTAACAGCGAGGAAGGACATGGTCGGTGTTAAATCTGGAAGACAGATGAAGTGGTCCATAAGGCAGAAAGACGTGCTAAATCTAAAGGCCCAAACAGGTGATACCACAGGTGGGAAACTAATGCTCTACGTAATGGTTCAACGTGCAGAGCGATTCTGAGAATCCCCGCGGGGTCCGGCAGCTGTTAGCCCTCAGCCCTACCCACTGACCGACCACGCTCAGCTGCGTGTCCCAGCGTCAACTCAGCGTGGCCCAGGGATCTCCTCTGTCATAACATAAGGTTAATTAACTATCTATGAATAAAATAGATCAGTGAACAAAATTCTTAAAAAACATAGTTCTTAGGACATGTCAAAATTTTGGGCCATTCCTGTTTTTAGAAAAGCGACAACCTCCTAGACAACTCAGGCTGTCCCGGGGCCGCAGAGCCCCCGCCCACCCAACGAGAGACAGAGACAGGGCAGCTTCCCCTGCTCGGCCATGGGGTCTTTAGACACTGCGTTCCGCAAATGGTTTTGTTTTCTCCTCTGTCGGGTTTTTAAAGCTTAAACAGAAAACTGTGAAGAAACACGCAGGTTACGCGTGCCCCGTAACCCTCCCTGCAGGGACGCCGAGTCCCCTCCCGGCCCTCAGGCCCCCACGCGGGGCCAGCGAGGGCACCGGCTCTCGTCTGCCGTCCAGGGTAACCCTGTGCGAGGACAGCACTCGGGTTGTTTTGTTGAAAAAGCAACACAGGCACCTAGACAGAAATAAAACAATTTGTGAAACCATACAGGTGGGTCTGCAAGGTGAGACTCAGTTGCTGTCCCGGCAGGGCCCAGGCGCCCTCCTCAGGGGACCGCCACGGGTCCTTTCTCTGAACGTCTCCAGCGGCGTCTGCCCCAGGGGCACAGGCCGGCCCTGCTGTGCCCTAAGCTCCCAGCCGCGCTCCCCACCTGCCCCGCCAGTCCCCTTTCCTCCCCAACTCCCACCAAAGTAAGATTTTTTAAAAAGTCAGGTGGGAGCTGGTGCCGTGGCTCACGCCTATAATCCCAGCACTTTGGGAGGCCGAGATGGGAGTTTCACTTGAGTCCAGGAGTTTGAGACTAGGCAATGTAGTGAGACCCCCGTCTCTAAAAAGTAAAAATTAAAAAAACTTAGCCACACCTGGTGACGCACACCTATAGTCCCATCTCTTTGGGAGGCTGAGGCGGGAGGGTAGCTGGAGCCCAGGAGTTCAAGGCTGCAGTGAGCTGTCATGGCAACCTGAGCAACAGAGTGAGACCCTGTCTCTACAAAAAAATTTTTGAAAAATTAGCCAGGTGTGTTGGCACACAGCTGTAGTCCCAACACTTTGGGAGGTTGAAGCCGGAGGATCACTTAAGGCCAGGAGTTCAAGACCAGCCTGGGCAACATAACAAGACCCCATCTCTACAAAAAAATAATTTAAAAAAAGCTAGGCAGGCTTGGTGGCGCATACCTGCAGCCTCAGCTGTTCAGGAGGCGGAGATGGAGGGATGTCTTGAGCTCAAGAGTTGGAGGCTGCAGTGAGCCATGATTGTGCCCCTGCACGCCAGCCTGGGTGACAGAGGGAGACCCCGTCTGAGAAAACGTAAATGAATAAAATAAAAAATGTCACGTGCACTGGCTGTGATAGGTGGTCAGGACGTGGAGATGAGCGCTGTTGTCTCTGTCTGTCCTGGTCCCCGCGGCCGCGCGGCAGCTCTATAGTTGGCAGGCGTGCGCCCGGTGCACTGGGGCAGGGTGCTGGGCCGGGCGCCGGTGGGAGCCGCCTCCTTTGGGTCAGGTTCCCGCACTTGACTCTGACCTTGAGGAGACTATCCCGCCCGGGGTCAGAGCCAGGAGGCCACTGCCCGGCGCCTGCGCGGGGGCTGGGGTCTGTGCGGCGGGCGTGGCCGCCCTCTGACCCGCCCGTGTGCCCTCCAGGCATGAAGACCAAGCACGCACTGCGCCACCACATGAAGCTGCACAAGGGCATCAAGGAGTACGAGTGCAAGGAGTGCCACCGCAGGTTCGCGCAGAAGGTCAACATGCTCAAGCACTACAAGAGGCACACGGGTGAGTCCGCGGCGCCGCGCTGGCGGGCAGGGAAGCTGGGGCCTCCTGGTGGGCACGCCATGTGGAAGGGCCACCTGCAGACGCTGCCCTTTCTTGGCTCAAGGCTGGGTTTTCTGGGTGACCCCCCCAGAGCCAAGGGTAAGCAGCTGCGTGTCGGCGAGCCTCCCTGTCACGTGTAACCCCGTGCACGCAGGGGCTCAGGTTGCCAGGCACCCATGGTGGGCGTCTGTCGATGCCCGCCAGTTCCTAGCTGCCCCCCGTGCGCTCAGCCGCCTTCCCTGCGGGCATCTGTGCCAGGACACGGTGCCCAGCCCAGGACCAGGGCGGCATCTGAGCGTGAGCTCCGTGGCGGGAGCCCACGCCGTGGTCCCCAGGGCCCCGGATCCGCATGTTGAGTCCCGCCGCCACCTGACCCCGGCTCCCCAGGCGGCCCAGGCTGCCACGTGGCTCTGCCGTGGGCGCCTGCGATTTTCCAGCACCGCTCCGTCCTCCTCCTTCCTGGGGGGGAGCTCTGTCCGTTACTCGCTTGGCCTTTCTGGGGTATTCCCCTGCTCCCCAGAATTGAGCCACGTGCCCTCACTGGGTCCTCGGGACACCCACGCTCTGCCTGCCGCTTGCTGGGCTGTGGAGCCCCCTGCCCCGTCCTCCCAGGGCCCTGCACACACGAGGAGCTCAGTAAACTCTCGCAAATCCCTCCCCTTATTTCCACTTTGGGGGAAAGCTTTGTCTACAGGCGTCCTTAGGGGCCGCCCCCATCAGTTGGGGAGTGGGATGGGGCTGACTCGATCCCCTCGCCCGGCTGAAGGCGGACGGGGACCCACGCTGCTCTAGGGCTCCCGGCCAGCCCTGGGAAGGGGCGTTGTGGAGCTCTGTGCACAGGGCTGCGGAAGAGGGTCGGGGGGATCGGGCACCTCTGGTGTCCCCGTCACAGTGTCTGCTTCCCGCCTCCTGCCCAGCCAGTCGCGGGCCAGGGCTGACTGAGCACTCACCATCCAGTCAACAGAGAGCCAGATCAGGCCGGGCGCGGTGGCTCACACCTGTAATCCTAGCACTCTGGGAGGCCAGGGCGGGCGGATTGCTCGAGGTCAGGAGTTCGAGACCAGCCTGAGCAAGAGCGAGACCCCGTCTCTACTAAAAATCAGTGCATTAAAGAAGTGGTGGTTTCCCTCTGTGAGTCCCACCCTCCCTGAGTCCTCAGAAAAATCTTCCCACATCTCATTATTTATTTGATACGAAATGTCACCGCCGAGGGGCACTTTTCTCCGGCCACACTTCCGGCTGAGCGTGGGGTGGGTGTCCGCGGTCTGCCGTCCCCTGGCGGCCCACCTGCTCCCAGCGCTGCGGGCACACACACGCCGGGCAGGACGTCCTCTGAGGTGGACTCACACTCTCCAGACACGTGGGATTAAGCGTGCGTCTCCCTGCAGGGATCAAGGATTTCATGTGCGAGCTGTGCGGGAAGACCTTCAGCGAGCGGAACACCATGGAGACGCACAAGCTCATCCACACCGGTGAGCGGGCGCCACCTGGGGGACCTCCCGGCCACGGGCCGCCATCCGCTGGGGCCGTGCGAGCGGGCGCAGGGGTGGGCGCAGCCGTTCTGCTGCATGGCCTTTTCCAGAACGGCCGGTGCTGTCCTGGCTTAGCAGCGGCCCCTTGGCCCTCTGAAAGCCGGCCCAGCGCGGCGTCCGCATCCGCTCCTGGACGTCTCACCCCGGCCGATGCGGATGGGGCTCCCAGGGGATGGAGGGGGGCCCGCTGGCCTGTGCGCGCCTGGCCCCACCTGCCCCACGGCCGCCCCGCGCTCACCCGTCTTTCCTCCCCGCCCGCGCGTGCGTGAGAAGTGGGCAAGCAGTGGACGTGCTCCGTGTGCGACAAGAAGTACGTCACCGAGTACATGCTGCAGAAGCACGTGCAGCTCACGCACGACAAGGTGGAGGCGCAGAGCTGCCAGCTGTGCGGGACCAAGGTGTCCACCAGGGCCTCCATGAGCCGGCACATGCGGCGCAAGCACCCCGAGGTGAGCGTGCCGGCCGGCTCCTTCTCCCGCCCGTGCTCTGTGCGCGCTCCCGCGGCTCGGACGCGCCGCCGCACTGGCCCGGGGACCCGTCTCCCTCTGCAGACCCTGAGTTCCCCCAGGCAGGGCCTGGGTCTCGGTGCCTCTGCGCGTGCCGCCCGCCACGTGGGAGGTGCTAAGTGATGAAAAGCACGGGGTGGAAGAGCCTCAGTGTGCTTCTTGCTAAGGTTACACACTATGCTCCCCTGAGGTTACGCGGAGATGGAAGCCAAACCTGCCCCTTCCCTGTTCTCCCCTCCGGAGTAGCCAGTGTGCAGAATGGGTCCTCCTGGTGGGGCTGGGCCGGGAGGCAGACATTGTCTGGAGGGACAGCCGTTCTCTTGGGTCATCCCGTTTGCTCATCCCACCCTGTTTCATGCTGGATTGACTTAGTCACGCGTCCGCCAGTGTCGGGACAGCCAGCTCATCGCCGCCCTCCTGGACTTCGTGGTCTGGGTGGGGAAGGAAGGAAAGATAGAAGTAGACGGAGAGGCAAGGTCATTGCAGACTGGAATAGAAAATGTGGAAGAGGCGGCCCCAGGCAGCGGCGTGACCCCATGGGCTTGCTCTGGGCGTGCGGGTGCTGCACCTGAGGCCGGTGTCAGGAGTGTGAGCAGTCCCCACCAGCCCGTGGCCATTGGTGCTGCCACAGACTCGAGGAGGGAGGTGCTTCTTGGAGTCAGGCTAACGTATTCAACCAAGTGTTTTCAGAGATTTAGCATTGACACTATTTTGTGACTTCAAGCTATGATCTTTCTCCCTGCCTTGAATCAATGTTAACACTTTAAAAAATTAAAACAGAAAACACTTTTTGGCTGGGCACAGTGGCTCGCAGCTGTAATCCTAGCACTTAGGGAGGCCAAAGTGGGAGGATCGGTTGAGGTCAAGAGTTTGAGGCCAGCCTGAGCAAGAGTGAGACCCCCCGTCTCTACTAAAAATAGAAAGAAATTAGCCAGAGAACTAAAACTAGAAACGAATTAGCCAGGTGTGGTCGTGCATAACTCAGGAGGCTGAGGCAGGAGGATCGCTTGAGCCCAGGAGTTTGAGGTTGCTGTGAGCTAGGCTGACGCCACTGCACTCTAGCCCAGGTGACAGGGCGAGACTCTGTCTCAAAAAAAAAAACAACAAAGAAACACTTTTCACTTCTGGTCTAACCTAAGAAGGGTAAAGCCAGTGAATGCATCTGTGTTGGCTCTTTTGCGGAGCCGACTCTCAGACTGTGTGCCGAGGGCCTGCTGATGCTGGTGGTGGAGGAGGAGGAGGAGGAGGAGGGCCCTACAGACGACCCGAGGTTTCCCAGTCCTGCGCAGTGCCCCCACGGCTCCTTCCCTCCCGTGGCAACTCCCGGTCTCACGCGCCCCAGCATGCCCCGCCGTGCCTGTGCCGTGGCCTCGTCTCTGTGCGATTCCACTGGGGGGCACGGGCACGGCACAGCCGGTGTGAGCAGGGTGCGGGCGGCGGATGCCGCTGGCCTCGGGCAGGACTTGCTGAGCTGGCGGAGGACCGCGTGTGCACGGGGCGTGGTCACGGCGTGAGTGTCGTGTGCCAGGGACTCTGCTCGCTGCGGCGGCGGCTGCGGGCGGGACGGCGGGGGCAGGGCGTCACTGCATCACCAGATCGACAAGCGAAGGTCCCTGTGTGTGCAAGGGCCATCTGAGAGTTAAGATGTTTGAGGCACAAGCGTCTCATTTCCGGCGGTTCCTACCCCGTGTCCTCCCTCCCTCTGCTCCTCCCTGGAAAGAGCAGAAGCGCCACCGCGGTCTCCCCTGCCGAAGGCACGTCGCTGTGGGCAGAAGAGGGGGAAACAGAGTCTCCACGCCCGGGTGGGCGTGAGACGGTCCGAGGGCAGTGCGAGAGGGCACAGCCCGCGTGAGAGCACCACCGGGCCTGGGGTGAGGGGTGAGGGGTGAGGGGTCAGGAAGGGAGAGCCCGGACAGGAGGCTGGCGTTTCTCGCTCAGTCCCGGGTGGAGCGGGGCAAGGCACGGGGATGCCCGTGAGTGGGGTCGGCGACACGCCTGTGCAGTGCCTGGGCTCCCGCCTGTGTCTGTGAGCGGCCGCTGGCGGGCCCAGCTCCCCGGCTCACCGCCTGCTCCTCGCAGGTGCTCGCGGTGAGGATCGACGACCTGGACCACCTCCCCGAGACCACCACCATCGACGCCTCCTCCATCGGCATCGTCCAGGTGAGCACCTCGGCTCAGGTGCGGGGCGCCCGGACACGCGGTGCCTGCAGAGGGCCCAGGGGCCCGGCCGGGCCGTGGGGGCGGCCCCTGGACAAGCCCTGAGGTCTGCGCCTCGTGTTGCCTGCTCAGGCTTCATTCTCCGGTATTTGATTGATCTTTCCCCCCAGAACCTTCTAGAATATCTCCTAGTTTGTATAAAGTCTCTATAACTTCAGTTTTCTGAATGCTGGTGTATCTCACTTTGGAGAACAGACGGCTTCTAGAAAAAATTAGCATACTTGTTTTATGCAAAATAACTTTGAACATATTTATTAGATGAACTTTTTAAAGAAACTTTTAGCTGATGCCTTTGCACAGACGTTTTTATCACAGAGAGAACACGTCATGCTCCCAGTTACTCAGCATCGCGTGGAAACTGCCGTGTTTGGAGACGGCGCTCTTGAGCACAGTGCGGGTCTAGGGGTGGGCCGCGCTGCGTGAGCGTCGGGGGTCCAGGTGCGGCCCCAGACACCGCCCGCCGCGTCTGCCCCTGGCGGGCCGCGGTCTCAGGCAGAGGTCGGGGGGAAGTCCCACCGTGAGTGCGTCCTGGCCAGCTCCTCTGGGCTGCCTGCCGCAGGTGGCATGGCACAGGAAGCACGCGTGGAGGCGTGGAGGTGGCCCGGCGGAGCGGGTTGCCAGCCACCGCTGCCCGAGGCCTCCGGGAGGCCGAGGAGCCGGCCTGAGTCAGAGGCCCGGCGTGGCCGGGGGACCCTTGACTCTTGGACAGACCGTGTGGGGCGGAGGCCCTGGCTGGGTGGCCATGGCCGCTGGGCCCTCCGCTGTCCCTACAGGAGGTGTCCGTGCGGTTTTCGTGGTCAAACCCACTTTCATCCAAAAGTGTTTTCTTCGGCAAGTTTGCTTCAGCCTTGGGGACGAGAGCCCTGACCTGACAGCGTGTCAGCCTTGGCCGGAGCCCACCAGGGCTGCGACATTTCCCTTTACCCAGTGGCTTAAAACAATTAAATTTTTGAAAGACGTTTACATTTTAGCAGAAAACGTGGGCTTTATAAAAGCACGAGGTGTGTGCGATATCCTTAACACACGGAAACCAACGGCACTTGCCGCGCTCCTCAGAGACGCCAGTGCGCAGACGGCCGTGGTCACGGGTGCCCATGGCGGCCAGGTGGCCCGGGAGCCTCAGCCCCACCCACGCGCGTGCGGCCGCGGTGCTGGGCTGCCCTGGCCGCCGCGGGATGCCGCAGCCCGTCCACCCAGCCGGTCGCTGAGTCCAATGTCCCCGCAGCCCGAGCTGACGCTGGAGCAGGAGGACCTGGCGGAAGGGAAGCACGGGAAGGCGGCCAAGCGGAGTCACAAGCGGAAGCAGAAGCCGGAGGAGGGGGCGGGGCCGCCGGTGCCCGAGGAGGCCGCCTTCAGCGAATACTCGGAGAAGGAGGCGGAGTTCGCGGGCGGCGTGGGCGACGAGACCAACTCCGCCGTGCAGAGCATCCAGCAGGTCGGTTGCCCGGCAGGACACAGCGTCCCAGTGCGCGCGTCGGCTCGCGAGACCCCAGTCCCTCTCTCGACCCCGCGGTGTGCAGGGTGGACCTCACGTGGCCGCGGCAGCAGGGGCGTCCCGTTTCCTCTCGTCTGGCGTGGCTTTCCGAGTGCTGACTGCAGATCCCACCCGTGGCAGCTGACAGCCACTGGACACTCTGGCATGTTGGAGAGAGACGGCTCCCACTGGCCGGAGGAGGGGCGGGTCGTTTCCAGTTTGGGGAGACGGCAGAGGGCCGGCCTCAGAGCCTTTTTGCAGAGATGCAGCCCTGTGCCTGCGCTGACCAGCGGGGGGGCAGGACCTGGGAGCCCGAGGTTCCTGCAGGGAGGGGTGCAGGGAGACGGCGAGGAAGGGCGTGGCCGGCCGCTCCTGCGTCCTGGGATGGAACCTGGCACTCTGCTCCGCCAGCTCCCTGTTTGCTTTTGAAGCCCCCCAGCCTCTGGTGTGGCTGAGCCTGGGCACTGCCGCCGGCTTTTGGAGATGGTCATCCCGAGGGCTAAATCCTCGCGTTTGGCCTTTTGCAGCCAAACTCTGCGTTCTTTCTCATTAGCTGTTGCTCCTGCAGATACTTTCACTACCCTTTTTAGCTTCCAAGTTGGGATTTTCATTTGCCAACAGCCAGGCAGTTAGAGATGGAAATGGAAACGGAAGAATCTACTTTTTGCCTTATTCATGCTAGCTTTTCTCTATTTTTCTCCGAGCCAGTGATATCCGTTTGTTTCTCGGTTCTATCTCACTGCCGCTATGACTCTGCCTGTATCTCGTTTCTCTTTCTCACTGGAATTATTTTTCCAGGACAAAATTAACTTGCCTTCCTCTTTCACCAAGGAATGTTCTGCTCCCCTCCCCGGGCGAGGTGTGTGATTGTGCCAGCACCACGCACACAGTGCCCGCGGGGAGGTCACTTTCTTCTCCGCTGTGCAGAAATGATGACTATCTGTTGTCACATGCGACTCTTGCAGGTGGTGGTGACCCTGGGTGACCCCAACGTGAGCGCCCCGTCCAGCTCAGTCGGCCTGACCAACATCACCGTGGCTCCCATCACCACCGCGGCCGGGACTCAGTTCACCAACCTGCAGCCGGTGGCCGTGGGGCACCTGACCACCCCCGAGCGCCAGCTGCAGCTGGACAACTCCATCCTGACCGTGACCTTCGACACGGTCAGCGGGTCGGCCATGCTGCACAACCGCCAGAACGACGTGCAGGTCCACCCGCAGCCCGAAGCCTCGAACCCGCAGTCGGTGGCGCACTTCATCAACCTGACCACGCTGGTCAACTCCATCACGCCCCTGGGGAGCCAGCTGGGCGACCAGCACCCGCTCGCCTGGCGGGCCGTGCCCCAGACGGACGTGCTGCCGCCCGCCCCGCCGCAGGCGCCCCCGCCCCAGGCCGCCCCGCCGCAGGTGCAGGCGGAGCCGCAGCAGCAGATGTACAGCTACTGAGCCGCGAGGGGCAGCCGGGCCGGGGCGGGCGTGTTGCGTGTTGCCGGATACCAAACGAACAAACAAAAAAGTCACGTGTTGCAATGTACGCAAGGTTGGCTTAGCTTTTTCGGAAGTGTCTCCAAACCCCTCCTAGGACGGCCACGGTCCGTCAGCTTAGCTTGAGAAGCGCGCCGACGGCCGGAGCTTTAAACCGGGTCTGGTTCCACGGCGCCTTTAGCCAGGCGGAGCGCTGGGGCTGGGCCACTCCTCCCGCCCTTCCGGGCTGTCCGCATCCCCGGCTTTGGGGACGGAAACGTAGAGGCAGGCTCCCAAGAGGCAAGTGGTAAGTTACTAGGAGCGTTAATGGTTCATTTCCTCCTTTCCTTTGAGCTCAGTTACTGTGTTGAACTTGACAGACAGTGCCCGCACGCGGCAGTGGCTGCAGGGAAACACGGCCTTGTCCTCCCCCTGGGATTCTCCTAGCAAGCGAGCAGGTGGAAGTTTAGCATCCATTCTCCCCTTCGAGATGCGAGTTGAGTCGATGTGCCGTTCGTTGGGCTGAAGCCAGGTGCGAGGTGTGCCCCGCGGCACGGGAGCCTGCCGCCCTCAAGCTCATCCCGGGGTCAGGCAAGGTCACTGACTCCGGCATCAAAGACATCCTGGTCAGATCCGTGAATCATTATCAGTGCAGTTCCTTTCACGTTTTTGCTTTATCTCAGAGATACGTCACGTACTCATGACTGTGCTGTGGCCAATGTTGTTTTTTAACTTTATTTTAACCTGAGTCGTTCACACTGTAGGACTGTGGGTCTGGGTCCGCACGGCTGCCCCGGCAGGAGCCCTCGGAGCGGCCTCAGGACCCCGCCACCCACGCGTGTTTACCCGTGAGCTCAGCTGGAGCCCCCTGGGTGGGCGGAGAGGGAACGCAAGCATGTGTCCTTTTGTTCGAACTTTAACTCCAAAGCCTGGCCTGTCTCAAGACCAACACAAAGAACGTGCTGAGCCCGGCACGGCGGGTGGGAAAGAGCAGGGCGGCTGGCCCGGTTGCAGCAGCAGTGATTGCCCCTAATAAATGAATGTGGGGATGAACGGCCGGCTCCGCGTGTGCAGGGACACGTGCTGTCATACGTGCGTGCAGCTTCGGGGGTGTGGGCCAGGCTCGCGGACGGAGAGGGCTCGCGGACGGAGAGGCCCCGCCGCCAGCGCCCTGCCACCCGCCGCGGGAGCTCCCGGAGGCCGGGGGAGAGGTTCGATTCTAACTCTCCTGATATTTTTTAACACTGTCCAAAATGAAATGATAGACTTGCCTTATTTTGCCCTTGGTCACTGCTGGTCCCAGATCTACATTCCCTAGGGAACACCGTGGACCATCGGTGATTGACAGACCAGGCCAGAGGGGCCCGACACGCAGCCAGGCACGGGCGGCTGGTGTGACACAGAACGCACCTTGATCACCGCCTGACGCCGCCCCGGACAGCACGCTTCCGCGCACAGGCCTAGATCGTGTTTGTGCAATACAGGGCCTCGCGGGCTGGGGGGCGCCGCCCCAGGCAGCGGCGGGGGCCTGCGTGCAAGGCCCCGCTCCCCGTTCCCGCCTCCACCGAACCGTAGTGGGAGAGCCTTTTACTTTTTAATTTATGATAATTATTTTTATGTTATTTATGTATATAATTAACTGCTTTGTACATGATAGTTTCATCAAATGAACTTGGGGTAGGAGTGATATATTTTCTAAAACGCTGTCTCCATTGTCCAAATATGTGTGGTCCGGGCATCCACGGGCTCGGCGAGAGATCCCGGGTTCCTGAGATATTTTTGTAAAACTCGGTGACGATTTCTTTCTGCCTTGGCGAGAACCTAGCGGGCAAACACGCTAACAAAGAACCCACACGGGCCCCGGGCCCGTGATCCGACATCACTAGCATTTGCCTTTTCTTCCTCTCCCCCGTGAGGAAAGGCCTTTGAGATCACAATTTTATTTTTCTAAAGAAGCTGTTTTAGTGCCTAGAGTAAGACTGCATCACATGTTTTTAAAGAGCCTAACGTAGACCACGCGGCCCTGGTGTGTCGCCGTATTTATTGAAATGCCAGATGCGTCCTGCCTGTTGTTATGCTATAAGGGAGGGCTCTAAATAAAAGTCAGACTCACTCCCGGTTTCCTAGCAACACACGTGGTCTTCCTGGGGCCACTGCGTGAGGGAAGGTGCGTGGTCCCAAGGCAGTCGCTGTGAGTTTGCGTGTTCATAACTGGATGCAAAAAAACAAAAGTACTACTCAGCCAAGTCATCGAGTGCACACTGTCTGCATATTTATCACTGTTTATCGGCAGAAAGTATTTAATTTTTTTACCTGATCCACGGTGCACAGATGTGTCCTTAAAGGAGGAAATCAGACCGAGCCATCGTGGCCTCTGAGCTCTGTGAATCCATCTCAGTTGTTATAAATTAATAAATTATGAGAATTTATTTTTGATCTGTGACTCTGTGGCTCTGCGTGCTGAAGTGCCACACGTGTGGGCCCTGCAGGGCCATCGCAGGTACGGCCGCTCCCCTCCCCGGGACTGGCGCGCTCTGTGGGGGAGGGGCCGGGGCTCCGGACGGGTCCAGCGGGTGGTGTGTTCTCTCAGGAAAACGCTCTGTGCCAAGCACCCCTCGCTGTGCCCTCGGGAGCTGCTCTGGAGAGTTCCGGGCGCGTCAGGGAGATGTCCTGACCGTAGGTGGTGGTCTCGCTCACAGCTTCCCCTAGGCGCGGCGTCTCTGGCTTCCCCTAGGGATTTGCAAGGCGGTAAGGCTGTTCTGGGACGTCGAGTGTATTTCGTGTCACACTGTTTTGTATGCTGATAAATAAAAGGTGCTGTGACCTGTGTTTTCCAATTGCTGACCCTCTGCTCAGACCGCCCATCACGAAAAGTCGACACACCTGGTGCATTTTGGGAACGGTTGCGATCCCTGCCGTCAGCTACATCTTGATTTCTCTCCAGTCAGACCTGCAAGACGTCTGGGTTATTTGAAATGTTCCCTGAGAGGCTGAGGTATCGCAAGCTTTCTCAGGGATCACCAACCCACCCCCCCCCAAAAAAAAAACTAAAGAAAGTGCATAGAACATTTTTGCAAAGCTTAGATCGAGAGAGAATGGGCACCAAGGAAGACCCCTTGCTGGACAGGGACACTTAGCAGGCTCTTCTTCAGGGTCTGAACTGTGAGAAGCACGTCTCGGACGTTTTAGTCCCGCTTAGATGGTGTCTGGCAGCTGCGAGTAGGATGGTGTCTCCTGCCAGCGAGCGGGATTCATTCGTTTAGCATTTAGCTAACGGCGGGCACTGTCTTCCGCATGCCAGCCCTGTGTGGCCCTCTGCGCGCACAGGCAACCCAGAAACACTCCAGGCGAAGGAATCAGCCCCGGCGACTGTCGCTAACAGGCGCTTGGCTCGTCAGTGCCCGCGTTCCTCCGTAGAGCACAGAGCGCCGCGCGGCGGTCCCCTCTGCCGACAGCCACGTGGCGTGGCGAGACAGGAGCGAGGTCGCAGCCTGTGGCGCGGCCTTTTCACACGCATCGGAAACCGGTCCCCGTAGAAGAGGGAGAGAGCTCACCACTGGCTCCTTCCCCGGCATTTTTTATATCAGGCTTGAATGTGTCACTGTCAGAGGGTCTGGTGTGACAGGGGTGCCTGCACTTGCGTGTGCGGCAGCGCGATCAGAATTAGCTGGAAGGGGCCTGGGTTGCCTGGATGAGGCTGGCCAGGGCCTCCCTCTGGCCCAGGCCTGGCTTCCCACAGAGCCAAGGGTGTCCCCTCCCTTGGCCGGGGACTGTGACTTGCCCCAGGCCCACCAGGTACAGGCAGCGGGCCTTCCCAGTGTCCTCAAAGCGTGGCCCCCACATCCACACTGCCCTGGAACCAGGCGGGCTGCCCTTTGCCCACTGACGGATTCGCCTTCTCACATGTGCTCCCTAAAGGAGGTGGCCCCGGGGGACGGGAGCCGCCCTGTCTTTAGAGACACCCTCAGAGAGACAGAGGGCAGAGGCCCGGGACTTTGTGCCCGCCGAGTACAACCCGTCCTATGCATGGGACGGTCAGTCCCTCCTGGCCGCTAGCATGCCACCCCCTTGTGCTTCACCTGGAGCTAGGGCTGAACCCCAGAGCCCTTGCTCCTGTCCTGAGCCTCGGCCACAGCATCCGGCAGTGACGTAATGACGGGCGGGAGGGACCGGGCACCACGCTGCAGGGAGCAGCCCTGGAAACCCGGAGGCCGCACGGCCTGCTGGCCAGAGACAGTCTGGAATGGGGGTGCTGGCTGCAGTGAGGGAGTCCCGTGTGGCTTTGTGCTTTGCCATTGTTTCGTGAATTAAAGTGTACCAATTCCTCCCCGCCGGGCTGGCCGAAGGATCAGCAGGTGCTACGCGTCATTGCATGCTGTGCAGAATGCCCCCAGATCCTCTCTCAGCCTCCAGACCTGCAGGATCTGGCCCGGTCTCCCCGCAGGCAGTCTTCCCCCTCGCCCTGGGGTCTCTGCACGTGCCGTTCGCCCCATTTGCAGGGTCCACATGCAATTCTGTTTTCTGGTCTGAACGCTTCCGCCTCTAACCAAGGTAGAATACCTGAAGCAGCTGAAAGCCCAGACGAGGCACGTGAAACAGTGGCACGGAAGACACTGGCCCTCGGGAGTGAAGGACAGCAGGACCCGAGAGGTGAGGAGCGAGGTAAACCCTACCATCACCCAGCTCACAGCCTGGACGGGGCGCCCAGGCCGCAGGGCGGAGAGAGGGAGCCGGGGTGGAGCTCAGCGGTGTCTGAGCTGATGGGCACAGGTGGCAGTTGAGGAAGGCAAAGCCCCTAGAGATCCCTGGAGAGCAGGAGCTGTGCAGAGATGTCACCAGAGGTCAGCGGACGTCCCCTCGACGCCTCAGCTGAGCCGTGGCAGAGCACGCATGTCAGGAAACTACCTGTGCACAGCATGCACGGTGAAAAGTCTCATAGCTTGGGGAGATTTGGACAGAGTTCTCCAGAAGCTTTTTGCCTAAACATGAGGGGAAATTAACCCTAAACTCTGCTCTGGTCCCACCTAACAAAACTTAAAAGCAAAGCATAAAGGGTCAAAGTGTTTCCAAGTTGCCTAACTAAATCCCAGAACAAAGCTCAAGAATATCTTATGGGAACACAAAACATCCAGCCCCCAGCGATGTAAAATTCAGAATGGCATCCAATCTGAAATTACCAGGCATGCAAGGAATCAGGAAAATATAACTTCTGATAAGAAGCAAAGTTAATTAATCAGAATCTGCTTGGAAATGATAGAGTTGGTAGACACAGACGTTAAAAGCGTGATTATAACTGTTTTTCATATGTCGAAAAAGCTAGAGGAAAGATTGAGCATGCTACAGGCATGGAAGATACGTTTTAAAAAACTAATTGAACTTCTAGAGTTGAAAACTTCAGCGATGACATGAAGAATATACTGGATGGTATTAGGAGCAGATCAGACATTGCAGAAGAAAAGATCAGTGAAGTTAGAGCAAAAACTATCCAAAATAAAAAACACAGAAAAAGATCAGGGGAGATCAATAGCATCAGTAAGTTGTGAGACAACTTTAAGCTTCCAAATATGTGTCAGTTCAGCCCTGGAGGAAGAGAGGAAGGAAAAGAAAAAATATCATAAGAAATAATGAGCAAAATCTTTTCAAAATTTGATGAAAGCTATAAATCTACATATTCGAGAAACACAACACCAAGCACAAGAATCATGGAGAAAACTGTGTCAAGGCACATAATAATCAAATTGCTTAAAACCAGTGATAAGGACAAAACCCTAAAGGCACCCAGAGGAAAGACACATAACACACAGAACAAAGATAATCACGACAGTCGACTTCACATCTAGAGTGATGCAACCCAGAGGACAGGGGCATAACAGAAAGAAACTGACAGTGAAAATTTTATACCCAGCAAAAATACCTTTCCCAAAAAAGGCAACCAAGGCTGGGTGCAGTGGCTCACGCCTATAATCCTAGCACTTTGGGAGGCAGGAGGATCAACTTGAAGCCAGGAGTTCGAGACCAGCCTGAGCAAGAGCAAGACCCTGTCTCTACAAAAAATAGAAAAATGATCTGGACATGACGGCACATACCTGTAGTCCCAGCTACTCAGGAGGCTGAGGCAGGAGGATCACTTGAGCCCAGAAGTTCAAGGCTGCAGAGATCTATGATGACACTACTGCACTCTAGCTGGGCAAGAGAGCAAGACCCTGTCTCAAAAAAAAAAAAAAAAAAAGGCAGCCAAACAAATGGGTTTGGATCGTAATCCTGAAAGTCATAATCCTGAATGTTGACATCCTCAAAGATCAAAATCCCTAAAGTCTAAATTCCTAAATTCTAAAATCTGTACCATCTAAAATCTTGAAAACTATAATCACAGGATAGTTGGGTCGTGTTAGGACTATCACCTTGCTTTTGTCTTCATGTGAAAATTAGGTGTGGTTGAAGGAGGTGTGCATGGGTGGCAAGTGGACAAGGGTAGATTTGTGGACTTAAATCTAGGTGTCAACTCGACTGGATTAAGGGATGCCTAGGAACCTGGAAAGGCACGATTTGGGGCTTCTGAGGATGTTTCCAGAGGACATTAGCGTGTGAGTGGACTCGGTGGTGAAGTTCTGCCTCAACTTCCGTGGGCACCAACCCATCCACTGGAGGCCCAGAGAGAACGAACACAGCAGGCGACCCGGTTTCTCTCTGTGAGCTGGGCAGACTTTCCTTCTGCTGCCTTGGATGTTGGAAAATGTTGAAAACTCCTCAATGAATAAAGAGATGCATCTTCATTTGTCAAAGATAAAATTTCTCCAGGCCTTGGCTCTTTGGGCAACTGCGTACGCAGTGGTGACTGAGTGCAGTTTGGGGTTGAGCTTGCAAAAAAAAAAGCAAAAGTAATTGTGAGTGGCTGTAAATCAGGAAACATTTATTTTTATTGTTATTAATTTTTGAGACAGAGTCTTGCTCGGTTGCCCCAGTCTAGAGTGCTGTTGCATCAGCATAGCTCACAGCAACCTCCAACTCCTGGGCTCAAGTGATCCTCCTGCCTCAGCCTCCCGAGTAGCTGTGGCTATAGGTGCCGCCACACTCAGTTAAGTTTTCTGTTTTTAGTATAGATGGGGTCTCACTCTTGCTCAGGCTGGTCTCAAACTCCTGAGTTCAAGCTATCCTCCTGCCTCGGCCTCCCAGAGTGCTAGTTATAACAGGCTGAGCAACCACGCCCGGCCTAGGAAACATTTATCTTTAACGCTTGGTGGTAAGCCTTAAAAATATACATATGGTAGGTGTTGTACACTTAACTATAAAATGAGTCTTTTTACTGTCTTGAAGAAAAATAAATGGGTAGTTTTGTACATAATAGATTCAAAAGGATCTCCCAGCAGTGCTTATAGAATCTTGAGTTCTATGGCTTCGCCTGGGCCTTCCGGACAGTTTGTTCTTGCGTGTTCTTATACATGCGTGTTCTTGTAGAGAGGCACACGCGTCACTTCACAGTGGAGATACAGTTTTCTTTTAAATTGAGGTATAATTCACATAAAAGTTTTTGTAGAGATGGCGTCTCACTATGTTACCTAGACTGGTCTCAAATTCCTGGCCTCAAGTGATCCTCCCATCTCAGCCTCCAAACTGCTAGCAGAGGCGTTTGTTTCATTGTGTTTTGCAAATTAAAGAGTTAGAAGAAGATGTACAGTCTTAAGAGGCGGGGCACCTGGTCCTGAACTGCAGGCAGGTGCAGCGTGTCCCTCAGGGAACCGCGCTGCCGTCCGAGCACCTTCTCCCGGCCCAGCCCTGGCGGTGCTGACTGCAGCAGGGTGCGCCGTGTCCTCTGGCGCACGAGT